AGAGAGAGAGAGAGAGAGAGAGAGAGAGAGAGAGAGAGAGAGAGAGAGATGCGGACTTGATTGGTGACGGCCGAGAGCATCCTTCACCCTGCGCTTTGCAACTGCTTCCACCAAAATTAATTCATCTATCTATCTATCTATCTATCTATCTATCTATCTATCTATCTATCTATCTATCAATCTATCAATCTATGGAGAGAGAGAGAGAGAGAGAGAGAGAGAGAGAGAGAGAGAGAGAGAGAGAGAGAGAGAGAGAGAGAGAGATGGGGATCCCGAGTGTTTCTGTGACAAAATATGGAGTCTTGCGGGCCTGAATTTTGAGATCTTTCTAGGGAGCAGCAATTTAAAGTGAAGTCAATCAATTGCGAGAACAGTGGGCTCGCACCTTCTATACAAACAAAGCTGTCGACCAAAGGAGGTGGATCTCCAGTTGGGTAAGAATGGTAGTTAGCTGCATTCTCCCCAAGTGTAGCATAGTTGCCAACGTAAAAAAAAGAAAAAAAAACTTGCCAACCTTATTGCGAGGAATGCAGCTGAGGGTCTAGCCATGTCCTGAATGGTGCTCCCGTGTGACAATGCCTTGCACTCTCTTTCTCTCACTCTGTCTTATTCTCTCTTATTTTCACTCTTTCCCCCACCCTCCCCTGGCAGCTCTCTCCTCCCGGTGCCAGCAGACTCAAATGAATCTCCCACTTTTTCTTTCGAATGGAGCGCTTGTTGGTAGTCTCTCATGCAAACGAAAGAAAACAAGCTGCTGAATGTTCATTGCCTAGATTCGTGCATGATCTACCCACCTGCATGTCTGCCAGACTTACAGTCTATTCTTCTGTCATGCATGGCCTATATTGGTCCTCTGTGGATGTTATTATGCAGGTAAAGGTGTATGTCATCAGGCCCCTTGTTTGTTCTCTCCCTCTTTCCTTCTCTCTCCATCTCCCTCGTCCTCTTCTTCTTCCTCACTCCCTCCTTCGCCTTTCATGCAGGGGTCCTTTAATCAGAACCAGCAATTGTTGCGCGCATTGCAATGTAAGCTTGCTCATGCTGTACCTTTTTTGGTCACACATGTCCGCAGCATTGATACCCCCCGGCTATTCCCCTCCATCCTCCATCCTTTGTTGCTGTGTCCCGCATTTGCCCGGTGATACTTGTGCTGATCTGAAGTGCTGTGATGGGCCTCTCGCTGCTTTGAGTCACGTTGCATTCTGTTTGTGTGTCGTCTCAAGTTCTTTTTCCATTCCCTGGTCCCACAGGCTTTCTTGAATGCACCAGCGTCTCTCATTCCTCGATGTGCCCATCACTTATCCCCCCCCCTCTCCCCACCCTCTGGTTGCACTCTCGTTGTTCCTTTTCAAGCCCTTCTCCCCCCCCCCCCCGCCCCCCGGCTTGTCCGTTCGCCTCCTTGCTTTACAACAGCTGTGTGGCTATATCAATCAAATTGCCGGGTTCTTTGGCTCAACCCTCTCCGTCTGTAGATATTGCCAAATGTTTAGGCTCAGGTGATGCCATACATAAATGCACAAAACAAGGAAAGACAAAAGAAAAGTACAAGTACAGAAAGATACCCCAAGCATAACACAACAGGCAGCAGCAAAAGACAATGGGTGGAAGGCACGGGGGAGGCAGGAGGGCAGAGGTCACTCAAACACAGAAAGCAAGCAAAGCAAAAAATATACAAGTCCCCAAAAACAACGAAGACCGAAAAAAATAAAAAAATAAAAAACCGATGATGACAAGATTGTTTCGTCGGAGTTGCACTGACTCATCAGGAGGCTGAACCCTCAACAATCTGCAGAATCTCCGTATTTGATGGTTTGGGTCATGAACCCTTTGACCCTTGTTGAAGGCAGACTGTCCCCAAGCGGAACGTAGCAGCGGGCAGCAACCCTGTGGAGCACCAGGCAACACAGTAGAGGCAACACGGCTGCACAACGCCAAAAACGACTCCAAGGAACGACATGGCACGCAAGGCGTGCAGCGCGGCAACCGTGTAGTGAAGCACAAGACAACACAAACAAGGCAACAGCACTGCAGAGGACGACAGGGCGAGCAGACTAGCAGGTCGGCGACCGTGGAATGGAGCACAAGGCACCAGCAACAAGGCAACTAACCTACAGGGCACACAAGCGGCAAGCACGGAAGGCACAGTCAGCAGATGAGCAGCACGGCAACGGAGCAGCGAAGCGCAAGGCAACACCAACAACACAGCCACACCGCACAGCGAACACATCAACCTGCAAAGAGCCACATGGGAAGCAAGCGGGACAGGCAGCAGGGCAGCGGCAGAGCGCAGACGAGGACGTCCACACATCCAACACGAAGCAAAGCAGCACATGACCTACTCACATCACGGTTGAACCCCGCAGACCGTTGGTTCCCGCCATCCACTGAGCCAGGGAGTCACTCCGACGAGCATCCGTCATCACCCATAGGCAACACAGACATCCCAAACCAAGTGCAGTTGGCACTCCAACCGAGGAACCACTGACTGTTTGGCACTACTTAAGGGTGCTCAGTTGGGCACACAAAGAAAATTCTTAGAAAAGTTCAGAGGGAGGACAGACAACAGGAAAAAGACTGACAGACATAAAACTGATTGTGTGTGTGTGTGTGTGTGTGTGTGTGTGTGTGTGTGTGTGTGTGTGTGTGTGTGTGTGTGTGTGTGTATGTGTGTATGTTTGCATGCGCCTGTGTGTGCATCGCTGTGTTTGGGCGTGTTTGTGCTCATGTGTGTGTGTGTGGTGGTGGTGGTGGTTCTCACAGTAGTGGACTTACAAGTGTGCATGCATGTGTCTCTGCGTGTGTGTGTGTGTGTGTGTGTGTGTGTGTGTGTGTGTGTGTGTGTGTGTGTGTGTGTGTGTGTGCATGCGCATGTGTGTGTGTGTGTCTGCACTTGCATGTGTGTATGTTTGCATGGGAATGTGCGTGCATTGCTGTGTTTGGGCGTGTTTGTGCTCATGTGTGTGTGTGTGGTGGTGGTGTTTGGGGGGGGGGGGGGGTGCATGCATGTGGGTGGGTGCTGTCTGGTGGTGGTGGTTGCTGGGAGGAGAGGGTGGGCTTGGGTGGGTAATTTGAGTCAGGCTTTTAAAGGGCATTATGTTGTGATGAAGTTTCAGGACGTGAGCCTCGAGCTGGACCGATGCATTCAGCGCATTCCACTGGTGTTGCTGCGTCTCTCCGAACACATCCGTCTGCAGGTGCGCTGCCGGTTCCCTATCCATTTGCATTTGTCTCCTGAACCTGGGAAATGCTTTAGTTCTGTCCTCTTTGTGTTGGTTAGGTATTTCATTTGTTGATTGATCGCACTGTGTTTGGATTAACCACTTGGAGCGGCCGGAGTCAAGAGTGGGGCGTTTACCTCCGAGGTGCAAATCGCAATCTAATCGCGAAGACAACATTGGAAGCGGTTTCAGCCGAGACGGAGTGTTCCACTTGCTGTGGCACTATGAGAGGTGTGTGAGCGTATGGTGTTACAAGCAATTCATCTTGTGTCAGACAGACGTTATCTCCTTGTTTGTTTTCGTCGATGGGGCGCCTCCTGTTATCTCCTTATCTCAGCATTCTTTGTGTGGGTGAGCGACAGTTTTTCGCTTTGCTTTGCTTTTCGGCACGTGTACTCTTGAGGGCAGTGGTTGGTGTGGTGGTCACCTCGGGGTGTCAGTTGCAGGGCAGATGTTGATCCCCAACCGCAACTGGGGTTAAGCTGGACTAGCACCTGTCTCTTATACACATCTAGATGTGTATAAGAGACAGGTGTACTCTTGAGGGCAGTGGTTGGTGTGGTGGTCACCTCGGGGTGTCAGTTGCAGGGCAGATGTTGATCCCCAACCGCAACTGGGGTTAAGCTGGACTAGCACTCACAGTATCATTGGTTACGGGACTTGGTAGGCTGTAGAGGGTTCAGCCTCCTCCTGATGGTCACCTTGGGGTGTCAGTTGCAGGGTAGATGCTGATCCCCAAAACGCAACTGGGGTTAAGCTGGACTAGCACTCACAGTCAATGTTTACGGGACTTGGTAGGCTGTAGAGGGTTCAGCCTCCTCCTGACTACAGTAGTAGGCGGGTCGTACTCCACTCAGCCCCACTGAAACACTCTCTCTGTCTCTTCCCCCATTTCGCGTCCTTTTGTCCCTTTGTGCCTACTCCTCACCGGCCAGTTCTCTATGACTATATGTATAGTTATTAGTTATTATTAGTTATTAAATGTCTCTAGAGGGGTTATCGTGTTCAACGCTATGTGGGTAAAATGATTTATATTAATTTTATAACCATATCATAGTGTCACACACAAAGTGTGGGTATGGAGGGGTGGTGGTCCATCACAACTCGTATGAGAGATTACAGCGTACTTGTCTGAGCACACACAGTAGGAGAGATCGCTCAAGAGTTGATGACACAAGGATTCCAAGCCACGAAGGGTTTTCCAACTTTTCCCTACTCCAAGGGACCCAAGATTTCAAAGAGTGGTATTGCAAGCTTGGTAGTCACTGATGACCACCTCCACCTCCCACCTCTCCTACACATTCAAACAAGGTTGTCGATGCGGAGCTCTGACCCCGACAGAGGGGGGTCACGTGATGACGAGGCTGTCTCATCATTCCAAAGAACCACCATAAATTCATGCTCAAGGGTAGTAAAGTCCTGCTACCTGGGGTGGCTGATCTGTACAGTCCCTAGAAAATTAACCCGAAAGGGCCGAAAACTTTTTTCTTGTGCAATAGACGAAATAAAAGCAGCACCGTGGCTGATCCATAGCTTTTTTTTTTTTTTTTTTTTTTTTTCCCAAGCCCGGGACAACTTCACAAAGGGGTGGGGGGTGATATACCAAGCAGCACCGTTGCTGATCCGTAGCGTTTAGATAAGCGAAATTTCCCTATCCCTTTCCTCTTTTTGTTTTAATGATTTAAATTTTAAATTCAGTTAATGAACTGGTTAGTTAAATTAAGTTTCTTGCGGTGTTTTGCGAAGTATTCAGTAAAATCTTGTCTCTGATGGCTTGACCCCATGTTTGGTTAAGAGGGCCACCCCCTTTCGGGAAGTATTCAGTAAAGGGCGTTGCCGCACGGCGCACGAAACGAAAAACGAAACGAATGTATCTTCCCCCAGAAAATGGCCAGTTTCATCGGTTTGGTATAAGTAGTAACGAGTGTATTTTGCCGCCTTTGGTGGGCAGATGCACTCGTTTCGTTTTCGTTTCGTGTGCCGTGCGGCGAGACCCAAAATCTTGTCTTTTTTTGACCCCATGTTCGGTTAAGAGGGCCGCACCCCACAGAGAGTAGTGCTTACTGTTAGGAGGAACTTACTAGGAAGATTCAAGGCTGATACACAGTGGTGAGCAGAGCAAGCCTGAGGGCATACTTGTACGAGGAGGTGGTTGTTGTATGCATTTGAACGGCTGTGAAGACCAGGTTCAGTCGGAGAAGTTTCTGGTGTATGGTCTCTCCAGGATCAGCACAGTCACACCAAAGTCGACGCGAGTGCCCCACGTATCATCACATGCGTTCACACAGTACGCTGATGTATATACCCAGTGCCAAAAAGTCAAAAAAAAAAAGAAAAAAAAGAAAAAAAAAAGGGATGTATAGTATTGTATACCCGGTCCCATGCCGTGGCAAGTGAAAAGTCTGCTGAAACTTCCGGGTCTCTGATCATTGGAACCGTTTCTTTTTTTGCTGGGCAAGGTCCCACATGTCCCATTTTCCACAGAGAAAGTGGGAAACCCAATTTTATGGAGAATTGCTGGACTCAGGGCATATACTCACACAGACTCACTTTCCTCAATGTCTCTGGCCGCAATGACCGCCACACCTGTGGATGAATCTAACTGCAAATTATTACCTCTAAAGAGCAGTGGAAACAGTCCTAGTGTGATTACACCCTCCCAAGCCATCGGTGGGTGTTACAAGCCATCGGTGGGTGTCACAAGCCATCGGTGTACTGGTGAAGCGGATCGGATGTAGAGTGCATGAGCACAGGAAGAATGCACGGCAGGGTGACAAAGAACGCAGGACCTGAGCTCAACTCTACAGAGGCAAGGGAGACGAGGAACAGACCTGTGTTCGAATCCAGATGATGGAACTTGACGAGTAAAGCCAACTACTAATGAATTGCTTGGGGCCGGTCAGCTCAATGATAATATCTCAAGGCAGTCGCCCTTTTTTTTTTTTTTAAAGAGATGAGAAATTGGTGAAGTCGGGGACATTGGTCCTGGGCCGTGGAAGACAGCTCAACAACTTTGGGATTCTCTGACATACTGCCACGACCTCCCACAGAACTTGGAAGAAATTACTACAATCTTCACGCGGAGTCGAAAAAAAAAAAAAATAAAAAAAAATTCACCCGAATTGATCGTACTGCTAGGCTACCAGCCGGGCCGCCCGGGTCCCGGGTGGCCAGCCCGTGCAAGGACCAGGGAAGGTCCTAGCAAAAAAAAAAAGAAAAGAAAAAAAAAAAACTCAAAAAAATCCGGAAAAAAACTATGTTATGCAGAAAAATAAACTGAACAACTTTTGCCTCAGGGTCACATCGAAATTCTTCACCAAATTTAGAATAAAAAATAAAATTAAAAATATATATTATTTTATTTTATTTTTTTGGCCCGGCCGGGCAAGTGACCCCGGGCCACTCTGGTAGCCTAGTCGTACTGTCATTTTCGCTGCATTTGGACTGCAAGGGAAGTGCGGCCCAGTACGGCCATAATGATTTTATGTACTATTTGGGGGAAGAAGGCAGCTCGACTCCGTTGGCCTGCTGGATTGATGATACTTCAAAAAACTCTGGTTACTCCAAGAAGGGGACTGGGTTCCTATACAAAGGAAACAGGTGAAGACAGCACACATTCTCTAGCTCAGCGCTATCATCATTGTACTCGTTCAGCCCATTGAGATCTGCGGAAATAATTGTCTGACAAGGCCATCCCCTTGGATTTTTTTTTTTTTATTTTTTTTTTTTTTTTTTCTCCATCCCCCTGGAATTCTGAATGCCTTGACAAAGGAATCCCTCCCTATCTTGGGTAAGGCTTCTGGGTGGGGAAAGCAGAGGGGTGCCCAGTTTTTTTTGTTTTTTTTTCCACCCGGAGCACTCTCTTGCAGATGTGCCATTTGACCCCAATAGTCGGAAGTGGACGCACAGTGGAGGCAGAAAGAGAAAATAATAAATTATATATTATAATAATTATAGATTATAAAATGATTACATGTAATACCTATGGGATATAGATGTCAAGTATGAATGTTGCCTATTCCATATCTATAGGAAGAAATACTTAACTATAAGTAAACCACCAGTTCACCCGAGTACGAACGGATGCCCTGGGCCTGCCCAGCCTGAAACGTCAGTCCTATTGGGTCACACTAACTTTGATTCAAATATGCATTTGGTTTGGTGTGAAACTTTTTTTCATGGGACAAACCTTTTTTTTTTTTTTTTCCCTGGATGCGGAGTAACCTAAGCAACATCCCATAGTTTTTTGGGGATTTTTTTGTCGTTGGAAATAATAAATAAAAATCTCTTAAGTCGGGGTACTCGGCATTTTGCACACCCCTTGGGTCCGGGAGGCCGAAGCTGACGTCTCTTCTTTACTGTGGACACCGACACCCGTACAAGGTTGGCTTAGCTTTTCGGCTGAAGAACTTGTGATTTAAAGAGGATGGAATTAGCATCTGAGATTCTGAATATTGAAATCGCCCTCCTGACAGCTATTATTAAACTGCCAGCACATCGGAATTTCGGCAAACTTGAGAGCCGAAATAGAGTCGTTCTGCAAACGTTTGGAGGCTTGAGGCCGTCGGACCAAAATGGCTGGCGCTGCCAGCCAGAAGGAAAGAAATTGAAGGCCATTCAAATGGAGGCTTGCTTTTTAATGGCCTTAAAATCGAAGGCCATTAAAATGGAGGCTTGCTGGCGATTCGGCAAAGCTTGGCGTGCGCGGGGAATCCCCACCTCGGCAAGAAGAGGCTCGGATAACTGGTGGTTTAAAAGGGGTTCAAACATCAAAGGGGGTGGGCTAGTGGGGGAGAGCCCGGAGAGGTCATAGAAGAGAGCACGCACAACAGAATGGGGGCTTGCCCAAAGGAGAGGAGGAAAATTTGTCCCCCAGGATTTATTGATTTTAAATTTTAATAGATTAGGACATTCAAATCCTGAATTCCCTATGGAGAGCGTAGTACGATGAAACTGGACACACAAAAAGAATCAAA